TTTGGTCTACTAAACATAATAAATACATTTGTCATATGGAAATTGAAAGGCCATAACAGCACCAACCCGTTTATTTCTTGATTTAATTGAACAATTAAGTCTTGACCACATACTTGTCCATAAATTCAAACACTTTGATACATATCTTGTTAGGAAGGAAATAAAAGTACAACTAAATGTTTCCACCTTGCACCAGGAGCTAAATTTGCTATCCCTCTTTGACATTCCTGCCAATGACACTTGAAGCACATTTGCAAACATGTCTAAAACCATCACCAAATTGAGCTTCCAGTTGACAACACTTTTCAACACTCAACAGTCATATCATATATATATATATATATCAATTAGATACTTATTTATTTGACCAAATTTGTAAATTCACAAACATAACTCATATATTTTGAATACACACACATGGTTTGCTAAGCCACTTGATGCAATCAAACAATCGGTAATACTATTTATGTATCTGAAATAATGGTTGGATCAAAACCTAACTGTGAACTTACTTTGGTTCGCAATCTAACAGCCTAACTTTTCCAACTCATAATTCTTAAACATGAGCTATTACCCTTAAAGAGGATCTGAAAGTAAGTGAGAAATCATAAACTCAGTGCATAATGTAAGAAAGCTGATGACTTGAAAGTAGATGCATACCTTGATTTTAGCATCGAGGCAATCAAAGATTTTGTTCAAGAAGAAAGAGAATCTTTATGCATAAATAGAACAAATAATGAGGTACATAATCTGAATTGAAAGATCACATAGAGCTAGTTCCTGCCAACTTCACCCCTGAATTCCTGTAAGAAAAGCCAACATATCAACACATTTAAGATACAAACATTCAAACTTGAAACTGATACGATAAGAAAATAAATTTGGAGTACAACAAAACACCTTTATTATACCATCAAAGGTGGAAAAAGAGAAACGAAAAGAATGCTAACCATTTTACAGCAATGTGGGACGTTTCCCTTGAACTTTGAACAATCCCCTTGTTCAGTAGTTTGACCTCCCATCATGTTCCAGATTACTTCTTTTTTTGCCCATGTCCACCCCAATGTCCAACCAGGTGCTTGAATATGGCGATACTGTTGGAAATTGTACATTGTAGCAACAGCCTGCCAAAATCATAAGAAGGATAAAGAGGATTAGAAATCCCGGAAAAGAAAAAAGAAGCAATGCCACATTAAAAAGGCAGCTGCATACATAAACTGAAGATATATTTATCATTGATATCTTCTGAAAAGCTTTTATTTATTTCAAACAGACAAACACTCAAAAAATGCTTTAAATTTCTGATAGAAAATGCTGATTTTAAGACTCTATTGATTTGTAAAGGTAAGTAATGAGCTTTTTCATGTAAAGTCAATGGATCCATGATTCATTAGTAATACTTACAACATAGCCATCAAGTGTGCAGCTTATTACATCCCATTTGATAGTGATATTGCCAGTTGGATCAAGTGCATCATAAGCTTCTGTAAGAAACAACCAGCAACAGATTAAAAACTTTAAATTTCAAGATACTTAAGCATTGAGTTTCGAACAAATACTATTATAAAGTAAGGTGTGGATCAGAAATCAGAACTTAACATGCTAGAAATGAAGTTCAGCATCAGTAACAAAAATGAGATTTGAAATCTTCCACAGTGAGTTGATAAATCAGAGAGTAAACTCAAAGTTAAACTCTGACTTTGCAGCTTTCTTGTTAGCCAAATAATATATTTGGGCAACTTCTAACTATTTTTTTATCATAAAAATAAAATAAAATAAAATTACCTTCTTGAGATGTAGCAGCAGTCTTTGATTCATCAAACTCCAACAACTGCACATTAAGTTATAGATCATATAAACCAAATCACATATCAGAATATATAAAGATAACAGCTTCAGCTTTGTTGATCAAAATTGAATAGTAGAAATAATTGCACAAAAAAAAAACAAATTTTATTCGTGAGACAATCAAGATTATCCTTGGACTACTGCTTATTCTAACTTTTCAAAGCATTCTTCCAAGTTATTTACTATCTGAAGCTGTCCCAAAAAAAAAAACCTTCTAAAGCAAAATTTAATGCTTAACTCTATAATCATGGAGCAATGAGGTCCTCTTCTTTATCATCAAATATTATCCTTACTTTCTTCACTTTTTCCCAAACATGGACATGACTGAACTCTCAACCCTATCAAGCCATCATTCTTATCTCTTTTTTTTCCCTTTTTTAACATTAACCCCCTAGTGCAAATCCTCGAGTCTTTTGCATGCAAGAGAAGAAGACCTTAAGATCTGTTCCTAGTCCTTGAATAAAGAACTAATAACAATGAAGTTCATAGAATCCACATCTTTGTCTTGCATGGAATTTCTTTCTTATTTTTTCTCTCTTTTAACGATGAAAAAGATATTGAAAAGACATTAAGCTGAACAATAAATCCATGCCAATTGCCAATAACAAAGTGTCAGAACAAATCAAACAAAGGGAGAGAACAAACCGGTTTAACTTCTCCATTTCATATACAGTGAGTAGCCAAGAATCCGATAACAGATGGAACAATATACAAAAGAGCAGGCTGAAAGCACAATGGAGATACAGAAACGATCAGGATCAGATAAGAACAATTACAGCTAAGAACAGAATTAAAAAATCAAGTGGGAAGTGAAAGGGCAATATCGGGTTAGCATGACAGTGAGTGAATACATTTGTAAATGCATTTACAGGAAGAGAAGATAAAACATGGAGCATGAATAGTTACCTGTGCTGCTTGAAACCAGTTCATGACAGCTATTGTAAAAACCAATCCCACGGTGTATCCTAAAAAGGCACTCTTAAAGTACTGGCTCTTTTTCCCCCTAGATACATCAAATTTTAAGGCTAGTGCTACAAAAATACCTGCAAGGGATAAAACCAATAGAAATAAAAACAAATATTAAAGATCATAAACTACTCTGTTCCTTTCTTATTAAAACATCCATAATGGTAATGTGAAGTCATAAAGCACTAACCAGTAACCATAATAATTCAAGTCATATTAACAGCATACAATAGACCTAGCACCTAAAGCAGTTTATTAAACATACCAGGAATTACAACGTCACCAATTCCAAGCATGGAAATGGCCGTGCAGAATCTGCTGTTGGGAACAAAAGCTACAGAAAGTTATAGAGCAATTAGATCACCATGCCTAACAAATTGAGCAATACATTCAAAATATAAAGAATTGTGCATAAAATAAAAGCTACTACCATGCTAAGAATTAAATAGAAAAAGAACTGACCTTTATAGGAGCATCGAAAGACACTGCAACACTAACCATTACAGGAGTGAAGAAAACCCATAAAATATCATATACAAAAAGCCTAGCCTGCATTGCATGAAGACGGAAAAAATTATATCAACAAAGGCATAGCTGCACAAGGCAATTATGTTGCTCAAAAACAGATTTGCAATATGACTAAACAGGAAAAAAAAAAGTCCTACCAACATGATTACCAAGTAAAATTTTGAACAAAGTACCTTTCAAAGGAACCTGAAAAAATTCACAACAAAAGTTCCTACAACAAATTTAAGAGCCAATAGGATAACATGGAGCGTGGAACTAACAACTACAAAGAATCATAAAGTTGTGTTGCAAAGGAATTGGAGCGTTATTGTAATCATAAACCGCTTGCTAAACCAACAGAAATTAATGAATCATGAAAATGACAGAAGAGAAAAATAAGAAAAGAGAGAGCTAAGAGAAAGACCCGAAGACAAAAAGTGAAATTGATGATAAAATGATCCTGCAAAAATACAAAAAAAAGGAGAGATGAATAAGGAGCCAAACAAAGAAAGAATAAGGGGAATAAAATGAGAGTAAAAAAAAAAAAGCAAAACGACAGAGATTACCTAGGATTTTCTCCCCAAAGAAGCCTGAAAGGAAAAGTAGAATATAGAGGTAAGAGTCAAATAAAGTTAGAAATTGAGAACATAATTAAAATGGGTTAAAGAAACCAACAGAGAAAAACCTAATCAAGGACCAAACCTGTAATCGGAATTGAGTAGGAGAATCGTTGGAGCTAACCCTCAAATCTTCAACATATAAATTCTTTCAAATTCTTCATCATCTCGACGAATTAACATGGGGGTATGTTAGTTTAAGAGATAAGGATGAAAAATATGTATTTGCATGTAACATTTAGCTTCAATTGGGTGGAGAAAAGCTAGAGAGAGAAAGCTTGATGGTCTTGATAATGGAGGAATAGACAGAGAAACTGAAGGTGACGGGTTACTCTTACTGGGTGGAAAATATGAAGGAATAAAAACCTTTCAACAAATGTTGACTTTGCATGCACTAGCACTAACACTTGCCCAAAACTTACATCTGGCCTGCTCAAAATTGACACCTAGCCTGCTAAATCAACATCTGGCCCAAATTCCACTAATCCTAAGCAGAAACCCAATAAAGGTCCCTTCATTTTCCAATTCCGTTCAATTCAATCCTCACCAAAACCCTACTAATAATTAATCAACATAATGAAAATAAATGGAAAGAAAATTAAACAAAAAAACTAATCATCATTCACTTGGCAACCTCCAACTCATATATTTTTTTGAGTATATTAATCAAATGACCTTGATCAATAACTAATTCTAATAATTCATAAGTAAAATGGAGTACATGGAGTACATGATTAACAAAATAATGAATGTTTCTAAAAAAAACAAAACAAAACAATGAATGATTAACATTAGATCAATCATTAGTAATACTAATAATGATTTATAAAAAAATAAAAAAACTAAAGAGATAAATCTAATTAAAACACTAATCAAATAATATATCATGGTCATCTATCATTAAAACACTAATCAAATGATATATACATTATGATTATCTATCAATAATTCATGGTCAATTCATAAAAGTTCTAATAATACATAATTAATACTATACTTCATGATTACCTATCAATAATTGGGGTGTTTTTTTTTTTTTTGGAACTTAGCACTTTGCAAAAAATGGAGAACTCTCCACGAAAGTCAACTATCAACCAGGATATCATCAATCGAACGAGGAAAAGGTTTAAACGGCAGCGACATCCAAATGATAGTGAGCAGGAGATCGTTGATCAAGAAGCAGATTCCATTGAGGGAATAGGCGCACCGTCTTTCGCAGACATGGTGAAAGGGGTTAACATATCTAAAGCAGGAGATTGGGAGGAATGGGCAAATGCAGATCCAACAAATGTTATGTCTTTTGGTGAGGCAGATTCCGATACAGAAACCATGGGTGAAGGGGATGACGATTGCATCACGTTTTCCAAAGAGGAGAAGGAGGCTATGCGTAAGCCATGGAGAAATGCCCTTATAGTGAAGTTGTTAGGGAAGGTTTTGGGGTTTTCTGCTTTGACATCCAGAATTAATCAGTTGTGGAAATTGGAAGGAGATTACAAAGTCACAGACTTGGAGCATGATTATTTTATCATCCGTTTCCAAAAGAAAGTTGATTATGAGCATGTTTTGGAAGGAGGGCCATGGATCATAGGCGGTCATTACTTGACTGTTCGTCAATGGCGACCCAATTTTATGCCTAGCTCAGACAAAATCGAGAAGCTTATTGCTTAGATCAGATTTCCTAATATACCCGTGGAATATTTTAACATGATTGCGTTAAAGAAAATGGGGGGGAAAAGTTGGTCGAGTGATTAAAATTGACCAGGTAACTGATGAAGACACGAGAGGAAAATTTGCTCGGGTATATGTGGAATTGGACCTTTCTAAGCCATTGAAGCCGAGGTTGACGGTGGAGGGTCGGGATGTTCTTATCGAATATGAAGGTTTGTCACTTATCTGTTTTGACTGTGGCATTTTCGGTCATCGGAAAAGTGATTGTCCTCTGCAAAAGCCGAGTAGTTCTGAGAAGGAGGGAGAGCCACAACCTTCTATGGTGCCAGAAACACAGGAGGAACCGAAAGATCAAACCTATGGGCCATGGATGATGGTACAGCGGCGGAAGAGGAATCCAGGAAAACCGGGAGCAGCGCAAGGCGTGATTCATGGAGGCAAATCTGTCATCCGTGATTTTAGGAATGGATTTGATTATCATAAAGGAGTTACCGCAGATAATTTGAATGTGAAGAAATCTGCTAACTTTAAGGGAATTATGGAGAAAAATAAGGGAGACGCGCCTGTTATTCCAAGTGCTGCAAAGCCAATTTATAAGGGGAAAAAGGTTGCTAAGGGTGTGGCTCAAATGGGGGCGAAACCCAATTTTAATTTGGGTCAGAGTGTGTTTAATTTACAAAACAAAGGCTTTGTTTTCAGTACTGAGGCTTCTTCATCTGGGCCTAAGGTTGGGCTTAGCAAACCAAAAGCTCATACAAAGCCAATTCACTTGGTAAATAATGCTCAACAGAAGGGGCGTTGTTATGTGGTGAAAGGGACGATGGCAGAGAACTCGGCTGGCAAAGAAAAATTGAGATTTGTTTCTGGGATGGATAAGGAGCAGTATTTGCAATCTACAGACTTGGGTAGTCGGGATACTCGTGACACCAGTAGTCCAAGTCCAACCCTTTCCGACCCAGGAATAGTTGCTCGCCAAAGTAGTGAGATTTCCTCATCTATGGAGGTTCAGTGCGATGGGTCTAATTCAGATAAGCCTGTTATGGTTAATGGAATTGGGGTTACAGATGTCTCCATGCAAGTTGATGCTGGTGATAGCCAGCTTGTTACTTCCCCAATTAATTAAATGAAGTTAATTGTTTGGAATAGCAGAGGGTTGGAATATGCCAAACTTCGTAGAACGGTGAAAGAGATTCTAAAGGAGTATAAGCCCAATATCCTCTGTTTATTGGAGATCAAGGCTGATATTGTGAAGGTGGAAAAAATGGCAAAGATTTTGCGTTTTTCTAATTTTTCGCAGTTCCATCAGAAGGCATGGCAGGGGGGATTGCTTTGTTTTGGAACTCAAATTCTTGTCAGTTGGATATAATTGGTTCTACTACTCAATGTATCCATGTTAGTTGTGATATCAACAAGGTGAGTCAAGTTGTCTCCTTTGTGTATGTTCGCCCAAGTTGTCAATTGAAGGATCAATTTTTGGCAGAGATGAATAGAATTCTCACAATCTATCTCATCTCCATGGAATGTAGTTGGAGATTTTAATGACTTTGCGGCCTTTAATGAGAGATGGAGTATTCAAACTGGTAGTGGGGATTCTTTTAATAAGATTACGAAATTCAGAGAGCGTTGGGAGCCATGTAATTTAATAGATGCTAGTACTTCGGGATGCCGTTTTACGTGGATTAGAAGAGTTGGGGGTCGAGTGGTTCTTCAAGAAAAGTTGGATAGATTGCTTTGGAATGCCGTAGCTCTCACTTGTAATTCGAATGCCAAGGTTTTAGTTCTCCCTTGTCTTTGCTCGGACCATCATCCGTTGTTTGTTGATTTTCTTGGCACACATCATAAGTCCAAGAATAGGCCTATCCGTTTTGAGGCGGCCTGGCTGATTCATTCAGAGTTTGATGATATGTTTTCTTTAGCTTGGGAGAAAGGCGAGGGTTCCTTACCGAAAGCAATTGATGAAGTGGCGAAGGCTGTTACTGTTTGGAAATCTGAAGTGTTTGGGAATATTCATAAAAAGAAACGATTGTTGCTTGCAAGAATTCGTGGTATTCAATGTTGTAATGAGTATGGTTTTTCGGATTTCCTACAAAAGCTTGAAGTTCAATTACGTGGTGAGTATCAACAAATTCTCATGCAGGAAGAACTGTTGTGGTTTCAAAAGTCTAGGTTGAATTGGGTGCAGCAGGGTGAACGAAACACAAAGTTTTTTCATTTAACCACTATGGTTAGACGGCACCGCAATTTGATCTCAGCTTTAAAGATAGATGAGAATTGGGTTACAAGTCCTGATTTATTGTGCCGGCATGTTCTCGATTTTTCTCCTCTTTATTTGGACGCCAACCTAGCTTAAACTTGATGGTTGTTTATGATTCCTTCTGTTTGAAAATTTCGAGTGATGAGAAACAGGCTTTGCTTTCTCCACTACGGATTGAGGAGGTTAGATTGGTAACTTTTTCAATGAAAGGTCTAAAGGCTCCTGGAGTGGACGGGGTGCAACCTATTTTCTATCAGAAACAATGGGAGACAGTGAAAGAAACAGTGTTCAATTTTGTTGCTATGGCCTTTGCTAATCAACGGGTTGATTTAAATGTTTTGCATGCTCACATGGTTCTTATACCGAAGGGAAATTGCCCTACGACGGTAAAAGATTTTCGTCCTATTACTTTATTGAATACTTCATATAAGATTTTATCTAAAGTAATAGTCAATAGGTTGAGGCCTATTCTGCAGCGTATCATTGGAGCCTTTCAAAACAGTTTTCTTGCGGGTAGAAGTACAACAGATAATATCTTGATTACACAAGAGATTGTGCATTCTCTTATGGGTCGCAAAGGTAGTAAAGGGGTTGTGATTGCAAAGATTGATCTTCAAAAGGCATATGATAATGTTTCCTGGAGCTTTCTCCGCGAGGTTTTGGTTTTCTATGATTTCCCTGCTGGTTTGATTAATTTGATAATGTATTGTGTTTCAAATATTGATTTGGCCATAATATGGAATGGGGAAGTGTTGCCAGCGTTTCATCCTCAACAAGGTTTACGCCAAGGAGACCCATTATCGCCATATTTGTTTATTTTGGTGATGGAGCGGTTATCTCATATGATTTTAGAGAGAGTGGAGCATAAAGTGTGGCATCCAGTGAAGGCATCAAGGTCTGGCCCCATGGTGTCGCATTTGTTCTTTGCGGATGACTTGATGTTATTTGCTGAGGCTTCCGAAGATCAGGTTAATGTAATTACCGATGTCCTTGATGAATTTGCAAAGGCCTCGGGTTTACGAGTTAGCTTGGAGAAGTCTAAACTGTGGTTTTCGCCTAATGTTCACCAACAAAAAGCAACTGTTTTAAGCAGGTTGTGTGGAATTCCGTTGGCTCAAGAGCTTGGGACTTATCTTGGAGTTCCTATCATCCATGGTAAGGTTTCTAAAGCCACCTACCAACATGTCGTTGATAAGGTCCTTCGGAGATTGGCCAATTGGAAAGGTAAGGTTTTGAGTTATGCAGGGAGGAGAACTCTCATCCAATCCACCTTAAGCTCTATTCCTATTTATACTATGCAAACGGCATTGTTGCCTGCGTCTACTGCTAAGCGTCTGGATCAATTAAATAGGAATTTTTTATGGGGTGGGGGATGTGGATAACTCTAGAGGACATCTTGTGAATTGGGATCGTGTTTGTCGACCTAAAGGGAATGGAGGCTTAGGCCTTCGTGAGGCAAGGATTTCGAATGTTGCTTTGTTGTCTAAGGTGGGTTGGAAATTGCAAACAAGGCAGCAATCACTTTGCTTAGAAATTATCCAGAAAAAATATCTAAAAGGGTCTCAGTTTCTTGATGTGGAAACTCGGGGAAGGGCTTCCTCTACTTGGCGGGGTCTGTTGAGAACAAAAGATTGTGTGCAGAGAGGTTCTCGATGGTTAGTAGGTGATGGCAAGTCTATTAGCTTGTGGTACGATTGGTGGGTTGGTGATGGCCCTTTAATTAAGGAGGTTCCACCTAGTACACAGGTTCCATCGTTATCTTGCAAGGTTGCCTCGATCTTACAAGATGATGGTTCATGGAAATGTGATGATATGAGTAGTCTTCTTTCGGGGTCAAAAATTGCAGAAATCCAAGCTACGCCGACTCCAATACATGCAAAAAAGGCAGATCAATGTATTTGGGGATGGGACAAACATGGTCAATTCACAGCTGCTTCAGCTTATAAAGGCCTTGCGAACCATTTTGTTGCGGACTATTGGTCGGGGAAGTGTCTTTGGATTTGGAAACTAGAGGTACAAGAAAGGTTACGGTTCTTTCTTTGGTTGGCTTTCTTTAATTGCTTAAATTCAAAGGAGGTTTTATTCCATAAAGGAGTAGTTGATAATAAGACATGTTCTTTATGTGAGATTGGGGAGGAGACTTTAGATCATATACTTCGATATTGTCCTTTTGTTGATGGCTTATGGAGTTGTGTCTACCGACGTTGGAGTGCATGTGACTTTTGATGCTTCCTTGCCGGATTGGTTGTATCAAAATGCAACTTCTAATCATAAGGTACGATCAAATTTTGTTTGGGGTTCATTATTTACATCTATCTTATGGAGCGTTTGGAAGGCTCGCAATAGACTTTTGTTTGATGGTCACCGCCCATGTGTGGAGTCAATCTTAAATTATGCTGTTAAATTGGCTGTCGAGTGTGCTGCAGCTAATGGTTCTCTAGCGCCTACACCATCAAATGCTGGCCGCATGATTGTTTGGCGTCCCCCACCAGATGGTGTTCTTTTGCTTAATACTGATGGCTCCAGTCGGTTAGTTGATGGACATGCTTCAGCTGGTGGATTGATTAAGGACTCAAATGGATTGTGGGTAGCAGGGTTTCTGTTGAACATTGGTATTACAGGAAGTCTAGAAGCAGAATTATGGGGTATTAGACAAGGATTGTTTTTGGCAAAGATGCGTAATGTGAGCAGATTGATTATTGAGCTTGATGCCATGGTCGTCGTTCAGTTTCTCCGAAATGGTGTTATTGATTCACATCCATGTCACACCCTCATCAATGATTGTTTAGAGCTGATCAAAGGTGACTGGATTGTTGACATTCGACATATCTGCCGAGAAGGTAATCGCTGTGCTGATCGACTTGCAGACTTGGCGCACACTTCGGCTCAGGGAGTTAGTTTTTATGAAGACCCTCCGCTCCAAATTCAGCATCTTTTGAATGAGGATCGTGAGGGAATAGGTGTTTTGCGTTCTTAATCTTTTTCTTTTCCAGTTCTTTTGTAGCAAAAAAAAAACCTATCAATAATTGGTTAAAAATTCCAATAATCCATGATTAATACTATAACTCATGATTAACACTGAATAAAAAAAGAAAGTGAGAATAGAATTTTCAAAAAACTAAGTACTATAAAGTAGAAATTCAAAATTAAACATGATTGATGATCAAAACAAATTAATAAAATATTTGTTGGTACAAATTAAATCTAATGTTTAAAGAACAAAATCAATACCAAAATCATATAAATTAATATTTTAATTAGAACAAAATTAAACATGATTGATGATCAAAACAAAATAAGAAGATGTTTGTTGGTACAGATTAAATCTCTCTCATGTCTAAAGAACAAAATCAAAATCTAAATCATAGGTCATTTGATAGATAATCCAAATAAGAAAATACGGTGGTACAAATTAAATTTCATGTCTAAAGAACAAAATCAATATCCAAATCATATAAACCAATCCATTGACTTGAAACATACAAATTTGTTTTTGAATCATCCATGAAACTCACTAATCAAATTTAGCTTTTAAGCCTTTAATCAAAGTCGTAGATCACACAATAACCTTTAAACCGACACTTGAACAACCTCAATCGGACAAGTAGACCGAAAATTAAACGATATTAAATAGACCGGTAATTGAAACCACAAAATTTCGGAAGTATTTTTTATAATCGAAACATCAAAATTAGCTTTCGAGTTCTACATGAAAGTTGTATATCATGAAATTACCTTTCAATAGACACTTAAATCACATTGATCCGATAAATAAAACAAAAAATACAAAAATAAAAGGCAACGCGTTAAATCGTCCAACCCATAATTCTAAAGGATTAAATAGTATGAAGGAGAAAAGTATGAGGATCATTTGATAAATAATTCAACAAAAAAATCTTTTGTTTATAGCAAACGGGTCCCATAAATAGTAACATTATCTGAAAGTTCCGAAAATACCCTCAACCATCAATCGAAATAACGAAAAAACCAAACAGTAAAATGACCAAAAAACCAAGCCAAATATTAGCCAAACTTATGAGAGTTTGGCATCCTTTGGTTTTTTGGGAATTTCCTTTAGCCTTTTATATATGGAGGTATAGATATATATATGATGATTGAAAGCTTTTATCATTCACTTATCATTATGCTTTTATTCTACAAATTTGGAATTAGTAAAAATATAAGTCCATGAGTCCATGCTAATCACTGTTTGGGCCGCTTCGGCTCTTACTTTGCGTATCTCATGTCAGGCTGGGCTAAGCCCAAATCTAGCAACAGTCACTGCAGCCCAAAATCCTAATTAACGGAGATCCTGCTTATAATTAATACGCTCTTGATTGACTCGTAAAACCCCTAATTATTATTACTAGTAATCGGGCACACGCTCATGCGTATCCAAATCCAAAAAATTTATCAATTAAGAACTTGATATAAATGAATTGAAAAATTATAAAAGGGAATGTTAGATTTTACATTTTATATAACTAGTTTTCACTTCCACGTGCGTTGCACGTTACTCATTGTGAGTATAATATGGTGAGTATAAAATTTCATCTATATTAAAATTTCATCAATATTAATGTATAGTAATCAAATTAAATTTTATTAGTCCAATTCCAAAATTATATTAATCAGATATATTAATTCTTCAACAAAATAATCCGACTTTACATTATAAATTTTAAGGCTGGGATATTCGGAAAAAAAAAAACAAAAAAATTGATTTAAGGATATTGTTAATTAAGTATATTAATTCTTGAACAAAACAATCGTACTTTATATTATAAATTATAAGTCTGAGATATTCGAAAAAAAAAAACAAAAAAAATTGATAAGGATATTGTTAATTAATTTTTACATTATATAACCCGACGGTTGGACCTTTTGACCCGTCAATTGTACATAAAGAATTAGTGTGATTATTTTCAAACTAAAAACCTTATAATACCCCACAGGAGAAGAAATATTGTCATTTTCGTTTTTTTTTTCTCTCCGTTCAATCCATTTAATTATCTGGTATTGAGAATTGGAGAGTTGGGAAGTTTGAAAAAAAAAAAGAAATGGGAGTTTGCAAGAGAGAAATTAAAGTGTAGAGCCATGTTCTTATCAATTACCAATCCCAACACAAAAAAAATAAATACCGAAATATAAGTAATTTGTTTAATGAAAAACTATATATTTTGTAGATTTAATTAAATGCAAATTAATAAAATTAAAAATTAATTGTATAGTGACAATTTTTAGAAATATGTTAGATAAGTAAGGATATTATAGGTATTTTAAAAGTTAAATAAGGGTACAATAAGCATTTCAAAAGTTTCTCAAAACTCGTACTTTTATATATAGTATAGATTGATAGGTATCAATTATAATTATTTAACAAATAACTACATTACAAAACCATAAGCATGTTTAGTTTTTACATTAGTCCCAACATCTCAATTGTTCTAAATTTTTGACATAGACAAAATATTAATTCATGCTTGGAAGAAATTGGATGGGAGATACCCAATTATGTCTATATATCTGTACTACTCTTATCTTTCAAACATTCTTATATAAAATGTAAAATCTAACATTCCCTTTTATAATTTTTCAATTCATTTATATCAAATTCTTAATTGATAAATTTTTTGGATTTGCATACGCATACGCGTGTGCCCGATTACTAGTATATATCTATGTTAAGTCTTAGTGCAATATATATACCTATATATCTCTAGGAAATCTAACTTACATATATAATAATATATATGTAAATAATAAAAAAGAACATTTCGGGGACGGGGCGGGGCGGGGCGAGGAGGGCATTCCAACATCCCCGTCCCCAACCCCGACGGGGAATAAATTTCATTCCCTATCCCCGTCCCATTCCCTAAATTAACTCCCCATCCCTTTCCCCGTCGTGGCGGGGAATTGGGTTCCTCACCGGCTTCGGACCATTGACATCCCTAAAATAAATTCCTGCTACACACATGAGAAAAGAAACCAAAAGAAATTATTTGCATGAAATATATATTTCATATTTTACAATGCATTTATAGAAATAATCATGTTTAATTAACTACTAAGTAAATATAACCATGCTTATCGGCTACAGCTGTTGAAATTAATCAAAAGAAAACATATATACACAAAAGAATAAATTCTTTATTAACCGCCACAACCCCCACAGCCGCCACCACAGCCACCTCCCCCGCCATCCCCACAACAACATCCGCCACTGTCACCGCCACCGCCATCGCCACCACAAGCAGCTCCTTCACGACGTGGCTTACCGGATTTGCCATCATCACCACAAGCAAAAACGACCATTGAAATAATTGATAGGGAGAAAACAATCGTGCAAAGCAACAAAAGGCCACCAGAGCCACCACGCGTGGCAAACCCTGCAACTTCCTCTCCCGGAACTACAAACTCCCTCGCCATTAATTAATTATCTGATCAGTTGGTATTAAGGCATATGCATATATATAACTCTATCTCTATACCGGACGTCACAAATCACTCTTCATTTAAGATTTTTATTTCATATTGACTTTTCGGGGCTAATACATAGAATTTAATTATATTTTTGAAACATTTTGGAAGTTTCATGGGGATGTTGATCTTGCTCAGAAAGTTAGCTTGACTAAAACTATAAACAATGAATGAATATTCCACAAGTTTTGACAAATCAAATTCCTTCGAATTAAATTGGTCATGGCTACGTCTATCCGGCCGGCATTAATTTTAATATCAAAACAGTTTGAATCAAAGATGGGATCGGTTATTAACGTGAACTTGGTTAAAAAACTACATAAATAATGGTTCTTTGTAAGGTTAGGAAGTATAGATATTTGAGAAGATGATATAATAAGTACTTTATGTATTACCTTTTAAATGAAAATTTATTCTTTTATAAGATTGTTTTTTTTAGAATAATTACTTTCATCAATCAATAATTAGAGATCACAAACGTCGGGAGAAATAGTTCCGCACCATACGATTTTCGTGCTAATACATTGAATTCCCTATTTACAAATTCTCTCTAATTTCACTATCTATAACTACCAACATACTAAATACATAAACAAATAAATTACAAAGAAAATTCACAATTCCGTAAGAGTAGAACCCAAGACCTCATGGTTCAGGTATACTGAAATTATGTCTTTTATAAGATTGTTGTACTTGTAGAAAAGAAGTAGTAGTTTAAAGAAAACAATAAATAGATTTTAAAATAATACATTTTTTATTAAAGTCTATTATAAGGTAACCTTCATAAATATTTAATTTTTTTTAGTACCTTTCATCTGAAGAAATTTTGTGGAACCGTAGCTTAAGTTTTTGGTTGCGTCTATAGTTTATGATATGATATTTATGAAATATATTCTTAGTTATCTATTCTTAGGTATACGTTAGTATAATTCTGGCAAATGCCAAGTTATGTTGTTGTGGTATAGTGTGGATCCCAATCTCATCTTCTTGCATATCAATTACTGAATGTATTAATCTAAAAAAAGGCGAATTATTTTCTTAGAATAAAATATGGCAACTCATAACTTATTTACTTGAAATATCATTTTATAATTTCCAAACATGTTCAATCTACTTGCTTAATGTGAAGATTGAAGCAAGTAGATTGCGTTGATATTTTCCATGTTTAATTTGCCAATTCTTGCTTAGTTGATTTAATTTTGAATTTGATCATGGACCCATTCATCGTTTACCTTGTTTATTACTACCATTAAAACTTTATCATGATATAATTGCTCCGATAATTTAGACTTACCTTATAAATCTCCATTAATTTTGTATTTTTTTTTAGAACAAAGATTACTTTTCATTAATCATTATAAATCGGGATTACATACGGGTAGATTTAATCCACTCCAAACATGATTAACACCAATTTCACAATTTAAATGGGCTAGCTCATGGGCAAATTGATTAAGTACTCTATTTACATGATTAAAAACACAAAAATTAAAACAG